CCTTTGCTGCAGAGCAGCCCTTTGCCTTGAGCCAGCTCTCCCTTTTCAATTTGCTTGCTCTTGCCCAGAATGCAGGAATTGTCAGTGACACAGAGGTGAAAGGGGAGAGAGCGTTCGGATTTTTAGGAGGTGGTGCTGGGGAGATGCTGAGAGCCAGTTCAAACCAGAGAAAACCGAGCAGAGAAGCTGTTGTGTTCAGCAGAAGGAGGGAAAGGAAAGCTGTGAAATTCTGTGTAATCAGTGGGGACATCAGACCTGTCCAGGCTGGCTGAGGCTGGAGCAAGAAGGCAGAGTTTTGTGTTGAAGAAGGATTTCTCAGTTTATGAGCTAGTGAGTTAACTCTTGGCATGCTTAGTGGGATTGTAGTAAAAAGAAACAGCCTGTTTGAAGGTCTATTATCTCACAGTTCAAAATCTGCTGCTCTCCATTGCATATCTTAATAACAAGTTACTGAGAGCAGTGTTTGTTCCTGCTGAGGCTGCAGGACTGACTCAGGGCACTTACAAGAAAGAACTCAGTGGAGGAAATAGCATTTTCTTTTTGTTTTAGCACCCAGCACAGAAGTATTTCTCGTGATTCATTTGTTCCTGCGTGTTTTCTCACCCCTCAAATGATGATAATAATAATGAGGGTGTGCATGGGGTAATAATAAACCTCCATGAGACTGGAGGCTCTGTGTGATACAGGCTGTGCAAGGCTGAGTGAAAAAGCCATACAGAGACCTGACCAGGAAAGCAAATTATCTTCCTTCCCAGCTAGAATATAAGGAGCTTGCCAGCTCAGTTTTTCAGAGCCTGGATTAGAGTGTATTCTGCCCAGATCTGGAATTTAACTGAATCCCCATAACATTTTTCATTTGGGAGCCACGAGGACACGAAGTTGCCATGGTGAACCTCCTGAACCTGCTCACAAATGGGAGACAAAGCAGATTAAAGGGAATAAATGATGCAGCACTAAGTGTGAGAATTGATGTGTGATGCTGCTACTTAAAAACTCGTTATGAGATTGGAGGGAAGATGCTTCTGTGTGTGTTTGAGTTGCTGAAGTTTGCAGCTGGATTTTAGCACCTTCTCCCTGTGGACATTGCAGTGCTCTCTGAGTTTATGGGGTTAAAAGAGGCCTGTGTTGAGTTCCACACTCTCTTGCATCAGATCCCAAGCCCTCATGCCTTGGATGTCAACAGAGGATGGTGACACTGGGCTGGGAGGTCCCTGCTCTGCTCTCATGCAATGACCTGCCCTGTCCTGTGCAGCAGTTCCCAGGTTTGCTGGTTCAAACCAACACAAATGCCAGGAGCAAATGCAGGATTCATTCTTTCCATGCCTGTGGCCTGTTTGTCTGTTTTTCTTTTGTAATATTGGGAATGCTCTGAGATGTAGAAACAGTGGCTCTGTCTTTAGGCTTTGCCCTGGTGGAAAATCATGTCGATATTCTGATTTCTTCACTTGTCTTTTCAGTTGCTTTGATTGGAGCTTTCTGCTCAGGCATTGATATGGTAAAACAGATTGCAAAGAACATCTTGTCTCTCAAAGGAATGCTGGTGTGATGGAGTCACAGACTGCAGAGCTGACAGGGTGCACACAGACTAATCTCAGCCTCTGAGGAGAGCTGTGACTAAGCAACACTGGCAACAGAAAGGAGCATTTGTTGGCAATTCTTGTTAGAAGCAAAACTGACTCTACAGGTATGAGAGCAAACTGTTTCAGAACCATTTGCAGGGTTCAAGGTGTTTGCTCCAGATCATCAGCTCCCTTTAGTTTTTATTTTATTTTTTTTTTATTGGTTTGGTTTGGGTTTTTTTTTCTGTTGCTGATCTTCTATGTTGCTTTCCCCCCCCCCCTAAAATGATGATACAGGTGGGAAATGTGGTGCTGCCATTCCTCCCCACTCCCTCCTGCACAGAGGGGACGTGGAGACAGACATTTGGTGGTTTCCAGACACTGCTATGACAGAAGAGCAGAATTCTTTTGCTCCTCTCTCAGGAGCATATGTTGGTGTCAAAATGGATGGATCACATCCATCTTTTAAGTTTTCCTCTCAGAACTTCTCTTTTTTTTTCTCCTCTGCTGCTGAGTTTTTCTCCAGCCTGTGTTGCTTTGTTTCTTCCCGTTTCTTTATTTGACTCTTCTTCCATCCCAGAGCAAAGTTCCCTCTGACAGTGGGGAGGCTGCAGGTGTCAGACAGAGATGTTCTGTGATATGGCAGAAGAATGTTCCTGGAAACATCAAGAAGCAGCCAGCTCAGGTTCCGGTGTTACAGCTGCCACTTGGCCTTGGAATCCTGGGAAACTCCTCTCCTGTGGCTCTTGGTTTTGTCTTTTAGCCTTGCATATTCCTGTATATTCTGTACAACCTATCCAGTCATTTTTTCTATAGGTTGTTTCAAGAAAATGTATTTTGTTTTTGAAGTAGAACAACCACAGCTATTATATTCTTTCCTGGTTCTGTGCAGTAACTGCCCTCTCACATCGAGTCTCTCTCCTCTTTCTTTCCTCTTGTCTCTGTTTGAACAGATATTTTGGCCAGTCTGGAGATGCTGGAAAGCAGCTCATGTTGCTCACCCGTGGAATTTCTCCTCACATCTTTCCCATCTTTTAAACAGGAAACAAAACAAATCAGTGCTGGCTCCTGGCAAGTGCCAAGGTGTTGGAATGAGTCAGCTTGGCACCTGTCCTGCTGTTGTTGGTGTGCTCCAGGATTGCATTAACCAGTGATAAGCAGCACATTTATCTGGAATTTGGACTCACCCATTGTTTACAGGCTCATTGTTTTCTGTCCCTCTTCCTTCTTCCTTGGCAATTCCTCTTCTTCACGTTCCTCTGTTGATACCCAGTGTAATTGATACCCTGTGCAATGCCCAGCCAGGCAGTAAGGTGAGGAGTTTTAAGGAAGGAAGGTCACAAAATGCAAAGCAGCTCCTAACAGAAGGGTGTGGACTTTTGGACAGGCCGCTTTAGGTTGGAAAACACTCCTCTCCTTCCCCTCCTGCAGCTCTTCCCTTGGTCTCTCCCTCCCTGGCAATCCCTCTGGCTGTTTGATGCAACTCCTCTTTCTGCCTTTGTTCCTTCCCTAAAGCTTGTCTAGGCTTGTATTGAAACGTGAAATTTAATACCTATCATTTATCATTTGCTTTAAAATTGGTAGAGCCTTGCTCTGAACAAGATGTGGGACCTCCTGGTTCCTGCTGAGATGACCCTGTTCAAGACCTGGTTTCTAAGAGAGCTTTGACTGTTCCTAACTAACCCATCCCAAGGGTTATTTTGCCTTGGAGATTGTCGCCTTTGGGAAGGGAGTGTTGAATCTTGGCTCTCAAAGTGTTCAAATCTTCTGCTTTGTGCCTTGATTTTCGAAAGGAATTTGTCAAAAGAAGTATTAGAAGTATTTTGGGCTGTAAAGGGGGGCACCTCTTTCCCCTGTGACCTGGCAGAGAGGTCAGGTCCTTCCCTGTTCCACTCAGTTTTTCTCAGTCTTTATAAGAAAATAAGGTGGAGAACAGTTTTCTGGAAAAAGTTTTATTATCAAATTGTTCCTATACAGCACTTTTACCCTTGGTAAGGGAATACAGATCTGTGTATGCACTGGCTTGGAATTCACTTCCACCAGAACAAAATCAGCAAACAACACCTTCAGTGCAAATTAATGCCTTAGATTGCATAGAATTTCTGTCTTTTGGGTTTTTTTTTTTTTGTCCTTTATGTGTGTTTTCCTCTCAGAGTGCTCTCCAACTTCGTCTTTGAACGAGGGGAGATTGTAGTAGTTACAAAAATAGGTAGTATTTCAATTTCTAGACAAGTCTTGGCTTTACAGTACAGTGGGAGGTAATTCATCAACCTCTAAAGTCCTTATTT